TTGTACACATACAGTACAGGTAATGGGTGATAAGATACCGATATAAGTGGATGGTATAGATAGACATACAGCTTATAATTAAAGTAATATTCGAATAGTGAAGTGCAAAGGTTACTGTTAAAGACAAAGATGGTTTATCAGTAGTAGAATTTGGTTTAAGAGAAACTGTTATTGATTAACCTGAGTTGTACACCGTCACGTGGTTAATGGTGACTCAGTTGAGGATTGCTGTGTGTGACACGGGCTGTTGCATTTTACAGATTTACCACGATAAATGTGTTTGCCCTCGATTTGGAGCACCTGCCCATGTCCTTCATTTTGAGTGTGAAACATGTGGTTTAGGGTAGACCATGAGCTTCGTGGAAGATCAAAACCTGGGATCTTCTGTGTTGGGTTTTTCACAAGGTGTTTGTTTATGAGTTCTTTTGAACTCCATTCACCTTTCCAAGCTTCATCATGGTTGCAATCGGATAGTTTAAGGTTAACCGCATAATTCAAAAGAGCTTCCGTGACTTGTAAGAATGAAAAGGAACGAACAGAAACAGAATAAAAAATCACCTGTGGCCAGTTCCATAAAACACTGAACATGATTTCTTAGGCACCTTTAATTGACACGAGGGTCCAAAGTTTTCTAACAATTCCCAACATAAGGAAGGCATGAACCTATGCCCAAATCACCTAAAATGGACCTGATCTCATCCGATTTCGGAAATTCAGCAGGGTTAAGTCTAGATAGTGCTTGGAGATTGGCAACTTTTTTTCTTACACACAGTCCTTGAGCACAGACCCAAAGGGAAGAAATTCCAAACTCAAGCAGTGCAAGCAAAGAAGCACAACAGGAAGTACTTTGACCTGTAGTGCGGTGGTTGAACACAGTATGGGTGAGACAAAACAGCCTGATAGATCGAGTCCTCAACATAGGAATCAAGGAGTGATTCATGGGAACAGTATCCTTTTTGTGCTTCGTTTTTTTGTCCTTCCTCCGTACCTCCGATTAGCATGGTTGGCTACGTATGGTGCGGAAGAATTTCAACATACATAGTAGCTATAGAAGAGTGATAAGGAGATGACTGACCACCGGCAAACAAGTGGCTGGAGTGAATTGGTGAAAGCTGGATCATCAATCAACCTAACTGCTTTACATTTAATTATATCAAAACAGTGAAGTAGGAATTGGGTGCTCCAGTTATAGGCTGTGGGGCAACGTTGTGAGCAGCAGAGGGTAGAGTAATTAATTTCATTGTGCGGTACTTACATACTTCTGCATATATTATCCTTGCCTTCACTAATCTGCACTGAACAGCATGGTGAAATATGTTCAAATAACCCACACGACCAGTGGCGGCTCCTGCAAAATCTCTCAGGGGGGGCAAATGTCTGGATGATTGATAAGGATAAGGTCCACCCATGCAATGGATAAATTAACAGCTTAAGCATGTAAAGGCAACTTCACTTCTTTAATATTAATGAAAAATAAAGTGACTCTTACAATACATCTTGTTTGTTTCTATACTCACTATTAAAACAAACCACTCAAATTATAATGTTGGATGAAACGTGCTTACGTATGATGACGTAAGCACGTATGATGATGTAAGCACGTTAGGGCGAGCCCTCCCGGAAGCCATAGAGAATGCATTGCAGCGCCCCCGTTCGAAAAAAACATCTTTGAATGTAAGTCTATGGGGCCACTCGGGGCGATTCTCAGCTGGAGGGAAATCGCCCAAAAAGAGGCGGTACTCCACAGAACGTAGCATGACGCTGATTGGACTATATCCAGAGGCACAGTGACGGCTAGCGTGACTCTGTGGTTGAATGACATTGGTGGTGCGTCGCCCAATCGCCCTAATGAAGAAACCGCCCCTACACACGACGTACATGACATGTGGAGGCCCTCATGCAGTAGTAGATTGACAAAACGTCCATATATATTAATGTAAAGCACGTTTTTGGAGATAAATATTCTCCTGTGACCTAAAAATAGAATGATTCTTCTACTAAGAATTGTGGCTCGACAGCATGTATTCTTAAATCCACACTTGAAATTGCATCTGTATGCCTGTTGACTCGTCAACAGGTGTAATCACTGAAGCCGTGCTTCAGGCAACCATTATGGGCAAAACCCACGTCTGAACAGTTGTGCTCGTGAATACTATTCACACCATTAAAGTGTATGATTCCTCATAAATGCATCTCCAAAGACCTCAAGCTCTAAGAATTATGCATTTTCATTGACATTGATGGATCCATATGAATCGCATACATTTTGTACTTTGTCAAACATCCTAATCTCTGAGGGGGTCAAATAATTTTTGCTGAAAACTATTCTTTTCTGCTAAATGTAGTGGGCACTGCATAATTGTGGCTGCATGTTCGGGCTTGATATTAATCTGTTAATTAACATTACACTTCATTAATAGAATTAATCAAGCGTCACAAGACTCCCAGTGGTGTTGCAACCATGAAACATTCGTGTTTAACTGCTTACACACTCATAAATGTGTCATGCTTTCCAAGTTAAACATGATTTATGCTAAATACATAGCATACTAGATTGTTTATAGAGCACTTTTCATCCAGCGGTGTGATTAAAGAAGAATCCAAATAAAAAAAATGCATTGACTCCTGTTGTCATATATTAAAACCAATTCGTTTAACATAACAGATAACGAGAACGATTTAACCCCAGTTGGATAAAGCCCCAACCACGTCATGTCTGTTATTGGGGTTGTTGGACCATACTTCACCACGATACTCAATGAGGGTTGGGATGATGTTCATTGTATGTTGGACCAGTTTAGATCTCACTTGCCACCGATGTAAGCTGTGGACGGGAATTGAACTCAGGTCTTCGGGTTCACTGTGCAGTGCACTTATCCACTGTGCCAGCGCTTTAAGTTCAACATTTTATGTACTTTGATACTTTAATTTATTTTGGGGAATAATTTCTCCCCATGTACAGTCAGTGAGTGGTGCTCATCTTTGTTCGTACTGTACTGTAGCATTGATTCTCATGGTAAGATTAAACGTTTCTATGGCAGAGACGAATCTATCCAAAGCACTATCACTCTCAAACCTCTCACCAAGTGGTGCTCAGAAGGCGGCTCTCCACTCTTTACAATGTCAGAGTGGTGCTTTACTATGATTTTTACGAATTTTAAGCGATTGTTTCTAAAATTATCTTATGCAATTCTCCCTTGCATAACATCACAGGACACGTGCACAACTGCAAATGCAAACCATCCTGGGCCAGCAAGTCACCACTGTATTTGACTGGCTATACGTCATGCATTAAACATTGATCTATTTCATACACCATAAAATGTCATATCTCAAATATAATTGATTATAATTACTAATAACGTTCAGCCCTTTTGTCAACCAACTTCTGGATGAAAGCCTACACATGCTGTGTCAGCAATGGAGATTTGCTTGATCATACTTTACCATGCTGATGTGGATTGGTGAAGGTGTGGGGATAGGTGTGGATGGGTTGGGGAACAAGACCAGTTCAGATATCACTCGTCACTAACGGTAGCTGTGGCCTGGAATCAAATTTTCAGGTCGCTGAGTTCATAGCACAGTGCACCAACATCTGTGCCACTACTCGCCCAAATATATGTAATATAAAGTTATTTTTTTACCAACTGCTCACGATGACCAGACCAGGCTTTTCGTTTAGCTGCAAAATATTTTAAGCCAAGTTACTTATGTAATATGATTCCAGGATGCACTTAGTCTATGTAAACACAAGAGGCATGTTAGTGCGGGTAAACTATGCAGAACGCATACATTGCAAACACATCTATGATCCTTCTTATAAACATAGATGCCGTCTGCACTTGTGTTCGCATTTGACCCTTGGTAATGGGATTAATCACAGCTGGGATTGTATTGACAGATTCCTATTGATGTTTCAAGCAGCAACTTAACTGAAGTAAAATACAGTCCTGTACAGTACTTGCTTATTTGGCTATGTATTTTAACTTATTTTTCCTGTAACTTCATGGACAATTTCACCGTTGCACGTGGCCACTAAAGTTGAAACAATGGACAAGTATCTTAAATCCCTCACCTCTGTCCAGCCAGGGAGTATAAATGGGGACACTACAGTTCAACGATCGGTGGGTCACGCGTGGTGAGGAAGGTTACAGACTGCTACCACCTTTTCAAAGCCGTCCAAGAATAGGACATTCGCCGAGAAAATCGACAAAATAGGCCAAATGCCATCTAGATGGGCTCTTTTAGAGTTCCCTCTAGCGGAGGGCTTTCTGCCAGCAGTGGTGTGATCAAGCAATTGCATGGCTGGGCCTTTACCTTCTACCATATAAACAGATAAAGTTATAACATTGTCTTTGAACGATAAACATGTGCTTTTAATCACATTCCTTAATCCAAAACGCATGATTTACATTATTTTAGATGCGATGTTTATGGAAAAGTGCTATTATTGAGAAGTTCATTGCAAAATACTGCATTGTATTGGTGTGGCTGTTTTATACTTAGTAACAGTCATTCAAGTGCAACATACCCTAAGGGGATATTAACTATAGCACTGCATATATCTCTGCACGAATACACTTTATAAATACTAAAACTATTTTCGTCCTACAACATGTTTGCAATGAGCAGCTCTTGTTTTGTAGGTATACTACTTCCCTCAAGAAATAAAGTAAAATTCACTGTCAAAATAAATTGCATTGGAACTGCCAAAAGTAATCTCTGAATGTTATTATACCCGTGGTTATGATCAGGGCCGCTGCTGGATTCGTGCCGTGAACCTCTGGCCATGTCACCGCCAAAAGACACGGGAGAGCTATGCAGCGTAACCGTGAAAACCTACACAGCAGGGTTTTGTACACTTGCAATATATTGGACCATGACCATTTTTAGCAGAACATTTGTATTGTTCACAACAGTCGCAGCTTGATCACACATCCTGGGTCACCCTGCACTCAGCAAACACAAACTGCAGCTTCATCACAAAATTTTACAGAAAGTAGTTTCCACGGTTTTTATTTGACAAATATCACTCCAGACTTATTTCCAAAATGTTTTTTTACTTCAAAACTAATGGAGTATAGTACTACATGGTATGTTTTCACGTAAGAAATATCGCACACTTATTTATTAATTTAACATATAATCTCTTGTCTTTATCCATACCTTTTATAGTCAATGTAGAATTAAACCAAATAATGTAAATCTACTGTAAAAAATTCCATACTGTATACGCAAACAAAATTAAATTGATAACATAAATGAAAGATTGCAGTTCAAGAATTGATCATTATTAGTAAAAAAAATTGAAAGTTAATATTAAATTGGGTATGCACAAATCTAAATGTGTACGACTTGAATGCACGGATAGGTTGGCTATACAGTATAACGATTGCAATTGTATGGCTAAAAAACCGGATGTCCAGGCATTATCTGGGTCCCAAAGAACAGAATGTATGTCTTATCAATAGAGTGCTCCTTGGTGCCTGGCAATGTGGTATGTAATCAAGCATAACTCTCAAGGGCGTTTAAAACATATGAGCAATGTACTGGCCTTTATCGCAATCTTGATCGACAGCTGGGTTGGTGTTACTTCAATCGAGAGCATTTTATATAAATGTATGGTTCCTCTCTTAATTAAACATGTCTTTGGGTGAAGACTTTAATGCCATGCAGTAAGACGGCACTTTTAAAGTTTATGTTGGAATGCGTTTATTTATCCCAAAGATGACATCTGTCAGTTAGCATCTTGTATCTGGCCCAGACAGATTTGTAGGACTTGCAGATTTGCCTAAAATTACAAAAATACATCACAGGTTAATTATTAGAACCTCGAACATACTTACCAACATATACTACTTTACATATACTGGTATTTTAAATAAATAACGATATATACTTTACTTTCATTAAACATACAATATACATTTACTACAATAAATGAATTACAACCACAAGTGAGTTATGGGGGTTGTTTGACCACACTTCACCAAAGTGTCTCCTGCAGGCTGAAAGCGACGAGGGGGAGAAGTCGAAGCATCGGAGTCCAAAGCAAGCGGACAGTATTTTGCTGCACTGCCCTCTACAGCCCATCATGTCGCCCCGCAGCCCTATGACCACCAGCTAGTGGTGATGGTCACCCAAATCAGTGCTATGCTTAGCTTTCAAGATCTAACAATAGAGGCATTTCGGGTGATTTGGTCATAGGCTATACTGTATTTACTTAACCACCAATTAATACATTTTAGAACTTGGTAATGCTACTTTGAAATGGTGATTATAGGTTTGTCACCTGTGCATCATATATACGTTTATGACAAAAGATATTGGTATATGTAAAGCATGCACTACACTCCATATTGTGACGAATTGGCTGCCAAGCGAAGGAACGTCGAACCGAGGACATGCACTGAGGAGATGGAGTAATTAAGCACATTCATTTGCAGATATTATTTGGATTATTGCACCGCATGGTCGTGAGAGATGGTGGTGGCTTTGGAAGGCCTTCATCTGACAGTGGATTAACCTAGGCTGATGATGTTGATGTTGTTACTCTATGCCTGACTGTCGAAAGTACAAAAAAAATAACTTAGAACATTTCTACTCAGCATGACTACACAGACGAAAACTAAATAAACTTAACTGAATGTATGGTTTCATATAAACCTATGACTTTTAATTGCATGGTTTTAACATTTTAATGGAGGATAATTTTAAGTAAAGGTTACCTGGGTTTTCAGAAAGGTACCTTTATATACTAGTGCCGACTGTCTCCTCCCACGACTACCGACTGCGGCTCTTGCTCACTATCCCCTCCACAACCCCCCCTACAACCCCCACCACTACACAAACAAGTCCAATCATTAGTCCAGAGCAGGGGTCGGCAACCTACGGCTCCGGAGCCGCATGCGGCTCTTTACGGGCTGCTTCTTGACGATATGTACGTATGTACAGTATGTACTCAGATGCATTGCGGCTCTTGAAATACTGAATTTTGTACCGAATTGGAAAGAAATGTCTCTTCTTGTTATTTTTGGTTGCCGACCCCTGGTCCAGAGGAAGGTTGCATGGCCTAAAACGAAAGAGGCAGGGCCCTAAAGAAGAGGAGGCAGTTCCGAAAAGGAGCAGGGCTCAAAGAGGAAGAGACAGGGGCCTCATCAGGAAGGGATGGGGGCCTAGAGAGTAAGTCGGAGGGGCTTAAATAGGGAAAAGACAGGGCCTGAAGATGAAGGCCCGGATTAAAAAGAAGAAGGGCCAGGGCCTAGAGAAGTTGAATGTCCCTGTTTATTTAAGGTAAAGGTGTGGAAAAAAAATACGTGCAGCAGTTGGCATACCAATAGAGCCGCATGTGTGGCTACGGGCCAACGAGTAAAGTTTGATTGAAAATGCTTTCCAAAACCAACCAAACTCTACTTACAACTCACCAAATACAGCATCACTACATACTGGGGATTTTCAAAGTATAATAACAAAAATATATAAATTCTGACAGCCTTTGAATGTTGAAAGTGAAAATGGATGCAAAAATGATACTCCTGCAGCAATGGTTATTACTGTGGGTGTATTTACTATAAAGATGCATTGTCTGCTTTATGTAGACATAGATATCAAGACGTCATTCGAAACGCGTATGCCATTGTGGTCCAAATATGCCAAATTCTTAAGATTGCCTGCAAACCACTCAATTGGGATTACGTACAGCAGTCACTGCCCCCAACTGGAAGACTACTGCCCACTCGCAGAATAACATTTTCCTGCACTGCCAACTAATAGTGATGTCAGTCGCTTACCACGTGTAAAACACTCTTGAGACTACCTGCCATAAAGGGCACTCTATCAAACTTAGATGATTATTAAAGGTGGCAGCTCACCTTGCAGTGTTTGAGCTGAAGCTCTGTAAGCTCCACCAGCCCCTTGCGGAATGCCATCACTCGCCTGCACCTGAAATCCTTCAGCTCTGTGTGGACAAATACCATGATACAAATAGTCGGATGCTCCAAGAGGCTATTTTATATGAACCTTATGGCGGTACCCTGGGGTTCCATAGTACCCGGTTCTCGCATAACGTCTGTAATGCAGTCATTTTTAGTCTGTTGATGGTCGGCGATGCGGCAATCGACTCATCTCGACGAGCTGTACACGATGCACTATTTAAAGTTGAAATTTTCGATAATGGATTTTTTATGATGTTTGGCGTTTCGACATCGCGGAGTAGCACTGATTTCGGATTGATTGGTACCCCAGTCACGGAGTGAAGTACACCCCTGGAAAAAATAGTGTCCCAGAAATAAAAGATTTTATTGCCTCGGCCATTTTGTATTATTTGGTACCCCGGGGTACCGTCATAAGGATCATTTGCTAAATTACGTTCTGCATGGGAAAGAATGTTTTCAATGTCTACAATATTAAAAACAAATAGGGTAAAAGCGTGATTAACATAACACTTTATATATTTGTAGGCACATTGTATGTTTGATAGCATCCATACAACCGCTATGATCCAATGCTAGTCATGGAGATTATTTAACCATACTTCACCACACTAGTAACTGTGGGCTGGTAATAGGAGGGGGCCAGGACAGATTTAATTATCGTTTGCCACTCATGTTAGTTGTAGCTGTGAAACTGAATCCTGAATCAGGTCACTAGGTTCATACTTCATTGTGTTAACCACTATCGCCCATATTTAATTAAAAAAAACATATTTAAGCAGGAAAACCTCAAAGATTGTGAAGATTATTTTTGAAGACAGTACTGAATTTAGATGTTTGGCTAGTTTCATTACTGCATGTTTGGTAAGTTGGAGAAAACTAGAATACCTGGAGACAACCCATGCATATGAGGCGGTAACATTCAAAGATCCACACGTGGATTCTCAAATCCATTGCTGTACTTTTGGTCGCCTACACCACCTATTGTTGCAAGGAACTCGCCCATGTATGTATCGACCAGGCTTAACCTTGTTTAATTTCTAAGCATCCAAAAATCAGACAAAATAGAGCATATGCAGCGTGATTTCATCATAGGTCAGTGGTATAACTCACCCTGCTACTATGAACCCCATAGGAAACTACTCTAGCAAAGTTATGCTCACTTTCCTGAAGCCACCTTCTCGTTCGTAGCAGACCTCAACATTGCCATTTAGCTCCTGAACAACCAGATTGCCATACACACGAACATAACTCACCCTGCTTTCCAGTAGAGGACAGCTTTTCAAAGCGCTGGAAGGAGGTCTGTTGCTGGCTTTCGGTTGCAGAAACGTCCTTGTTGCGGGTGCGTGCGCGGTCCAGCGCTTTGTTGGCGTTCTCGTAATCTACGAGAGCCCTGGTCCGCCGGTACAGCAAGTCCTGTGGGCAGCCAGTGATGTAAATGTATCGGCAATGACCACACTCAGGCTGGTGGTAGGATAATTATGGAGCATAAGTAAGTGTGCCTTCAGTGGTTATGTGTGTAAGTGATGACTGGTCACCTTGGCAGCTTGCGAGTCCTTCATGTAATATCGAAACAGGTCTGAGAGCTTCAGATCTTGATCAGAAGCCACCCGTCCCTCTAGTTTCTGTAAGACAGTAAACACATTCCCTGTGTGTAGTAGTTAATGGACTTATAACCATTCACTCCCAGCAAAGATTAAATGAATTGTGATGATTCATGGTTGTGATTGGACGCAATAATAGGTTATATTTCTATATATTAATTACCTTCGTTTGCATTGTTTCTTATTGTTTTTGTGTCTTATATAGGGGCTTGTTCACTCAACCCAAATGTAACACTCTTGTATCATTTTCAAACAATGTTCATACAATGTTACTAATCGATTCCACAACAAAAAAAATTGCATGCATTGTGAGCATACGAATAATATGAATCGATGAAATGATATACGCATTGTAGTATATGCAGCAAATCGGCTGTGATGTCATACTACTGCGTACGTTTTCACGGTCGTGGTGTATTGTTCTCAGGTGAGTTATTTGGGTCGTTCTGCGTGTTATTTGGCGTGATCTCACTCCATGTGCCAACACTAACCCGAAAACACATCAGAGAAAGAGTTACAGCTGTCATGGTGTGCCTTAGAGGCAAGGCCATAGGAACTAAACAAAAAATTTCACTTCACTGTGATTTTATCTTTTCCCAAAAAAAAATGTGATTTTTTTTATACTATGGCATAATTTTTTTAAAATGTGTTTTATATGAAGAGAATTCATGTAAACAATAGCATTACGATACACTATGCACTGTCATTTTATTTGCCAAACATGAAAAAATACGGCACCTTTAAAAAGCTTCAGTGTGCACTAGTTGAGCATCGTGAGGATTTAAAGCGGCTGTGTAAAATTGTCCACGACGTGCATTCAAGCGCACTGTGATGTACATCCCTTTGCAGTTGCTATTACTTTTAACAGAAAAGCGTTGTGCGTAGGAGATACATTAAAATGGCTTGTTCGCATGTTATGGATAGGATATGGCACAACCTAACAAGTTAGCAAGGCTTACTGACCACAAGCAATGGAATGCTAATGGCCGATGTGCGACAAACCATAATAGACTGTGAGTTAGGGTGCTTAGTCTCATGAATGTAGCTACAGATTTAATGCTATAATGGGAAATAAAATATACACACGGTACGAAAAATAGGGGTGGAGCAATGGCGCAGTGATTCACGTACTGTACTATGAACCTGGCAACCTGAGTTAAACATTCCAGGCCATTCTAGATTTGAAGCTTTCGTGACTGCAAGGATTCATACTCTTAGTTCTTTCGGTAAAGTCACGTAGGTAAAAAATGAAATGAAATTAATAAAAATAACACAATAAAAATCACGACGTTTCGGAGGCAACACAAGCTTCCGTCTTCAGGTGAAACCGTCAAAGAGCGGCTTAATCATTCTTTGTTTCTTTCGGTTAAGTCACGTCTAAAGATAAAATAATAAATTAAAATAATAGCATATTACGACGTTTCGATTGCAACACAAGCAATCATCATTACCCACCCAGCAGTATAACAGTATAACAAAAGCAGTAATTGACCACTTCACAACTCCTCCTCCCCCGCTGCCCTTCCTGGCTCCTCCCCCCTTAACCACTATATAAGGTACAGATATTTTGCTGTGAAGGTTTCACCTGAAGACGGAAGCTTGTGTTGCCTCCGAAACGTCGTGATTTTTATTGTGTTATTTTTATTAATTTTAATTTCATTTTTTACCTACGTGACTTTACCGAAAGAACTAAGAGCATGAATTCCAGGCCATGGTTAACACCAGTGGTGAGTTAGATCTGAACTGGTCCTGGGCACCCCTTCACCAACCTGCATTGACCTGTGTGGTGAAGTCTGGCCAAACAACCCCTCATGACCGACACAACGTGAAAAGGCCCTCAATCAGTCGTTTATTGACATAGGCTTGCATATTATTAAATACAAAACTCCTATAAATATAAGTTGCCATGCTAATGAAGAGTCTTACCCTTGTTTTTTCCAGCACATCAGCAATACAAAGGTATAACCTGAAAGACACGGTGCTTTCTTTTTACGATGAACAAAACAGTTGCATTGCTTACTTGTTACTCATTAATTGTCATCTCTGTGTTTGTAAAGCAATCAAATCCATTCAGGAAATTAGTTTACTTGCTAAAGTTCCTGGAGTCCTGTGTGGCCAGGCTGGTGAAGCTGGCTGAGATGTGGAGGTAGTCCTCTGCGATGTCTACACACAGACGTACCACAACCAATACATCACGTCAATTCATAAAGTCCTTTTTCTCTCTCGCAAAATGTATCCCAATTCTGCTTTAAGCATCACATCACAAGACGTACTAGCCAGTCGGATCTCCTGCAGAGCAGTGTAATCATTCATGTTAGAGAACCGCCAACGAAAGAGGATATCACAGAGTTGAAAGCCTCTTCAAGTGACCTCTGGTCCACACAGGAGCAGGCAGCACCTTCCTACCCACTCTGCAATGTGAGAGTAATGTTTTTGCCACATGACTGTCAAACCGATATTTCATTCTCAGAGCCGGAATATTTCCACATTAAGTGCAGAACCAATTTTAACATCCTTTGTTGTCTCAATGATTGCTGGGAGGTGCTTTCAATGTTGGAACAGTGTTTTAACGATTTTTCTATACTTAAATAGTTGCTTTATACATTCGTGGATAGTGTGTGGAGCTTTAGAGTACCAAGGGTAATGTACCTGTATTCTGCTTTATGCTACTCCGTGCCTCAACAACAGCAAGGCCTGCAGTGCCACCTACTAGGGAAGATGTTAAACGATTGTAACACTGAAATCCTCAAAGTATACGTGAAGAAAATATCATAGCTGCAAGATTCTAAGTTAAAATACTATAACTGGAGTACTGTACTATTCTTTCATTTTGGTAACTTTTCCCATTGGTTATTCTCAAAGTACTACAGTTTAAAATGAATATAATCTCACACTTTCTGCTGTAATAAAGGTGTAAATTATTAGGAAAATACATAATAACTCCATATTGTAATCAGTGCAGGCCATAAAACCTTAAATTTAAATAAACACGAAGAAACATGTACAAAAAGCCCCCAGCCGTGTGCAGTATGTAAAACCCATCACTTGTTCCTGAGCCACAATGCAGTTCTTCAGGTTCTGTGATGTGGCAGACTTGTTGAGTGTAGTGGTTATAAAACTGCGCTAAGAATCCGGCCACTTAGTCATGGCCAATGTCAGCGACAAATATCAGAACTGGTCCGAGGTCCCTGGTGCGGTGTATATAAACATTGGCACTGGGTGTGGTGCTTGCCACAGCACCCCACCTAGCACCAGTCCTGGCCTTAATGAGTGCTTGCTCACAGCACTTGCCACAAAGTCTGTGTAGACTGAACTGGATATATGTCTTTGTCATTCCTGTAAAGCCAGCCATGCTCCAATGATAATTTATACAAAATAAAATACATAAAAACACAATGAAACCGGAATGACTAGAGTAAAATTAATCAAGGGTGAATTTAAAGAATACAATGTTCTCAGTTGTTGTCCACATACTCTTGTGTGCTTTTGTCATTTTGTCAGCCTTGGTGGTGGCATCTTTGATTCGCGAATGATAATCCACCAAGAAGACTTTCTCATGCTCCATGAACTCGTCGATATCCTGTAAAATAAAGCGGCAGCAAACATGAATATAAGTATTTGTTGAGTTTTTTTCTGCTACATGTCATACTATACAGTCTTAAAGAAAAATATTTTTGCTAACTGCCATGTGACGTCACTGCACGCATATGCGTGATTACTTCACCGGCATCCCACAGCGGTGAACCGGGTTCGTTACACATGCACCCCCCTCCACGACCATGCATCCCGTGTAAATGCATGGGCAGTACTAGTTTTTTTGTTGTTGTAGTGCGACTCAACACGAGTCCAGTACAAGGAGGGAACAGAAACTCTGAGCAAAAACCTGCGCAAGGGCGTATTAAGGAGGTGGGACATTCTGGCTCTTCGTCCCAACCAAATGGGGACCGCGATTGGGAACATGAAAGCTTATATGAGGAGGAAAAGATGAGGGGAAAGATAACTAATATAATGGGGGGGGGGGGGGGGGGGGTAGAGAGGGGGCTGGGGAAGCGAGGGAGTGCTAGTTAATTTTTAAAAACAATAGTAGAGCAGTTGGAGCACCATTTTGTTCGATGCACGTGCTTACGGGGAGTTTGTTATTTACGCGGAGTTCCTTATTCACATGGAGTGTTATTTGCAATTGATCGCCCTGATGAGTCAACAAGCCCCCCCATGCCATAATTAGTGAATATTACCAAAGCTATTCAAAGGTCAAGATCAAAAGGTCATCACAGCCAACGTCACTGGTGCCACCGCACTTTGTTATTGCTTTCTTCCTCCTGATACGTCACTAAAAGTGTGGGTCAAAGTGCGTGTGGCATTCAAATTACAAGTCATGTGCTTGGTGGGTAGTAGGATGTGATAGGCGGTGTTTTCATTCCATATATACCGGAAATACATTTACTGTACTGCATTTTTGCTCGTTAGTTATAACAATACATGCACTGCATGCAAGCTATGCACAATTTTATTGAACAAAAATCATATTGAATAACTTTCAGCTCTTTGTTAATCCACTGCTTGGTGAAATTCTCCCCATGCCGTGTCGGTCAGGGGGGTTGGTTTGACTATACTTCACCATGCTGGTCTGTGCGGTTGCTAAAGGGGAGGCCAAGGACCATTTCAGATAACGCTTGCCACTGATGCCAATCATGGTCAGAAATCAAACTCGGCTCACCAGGGCCATACATAAAACAGTAGCAATAACTAATGCGCCACCATTCCCCCAACAACAATATACATGCATAGTTTTTGAACATTGCATTTCTAATACAGACGGTTCAATCTATTTCTGTACAGTGCTGTTTTTAAAATAGTTGTACTATGCTATGGAGGGTGGGTGCGGTTGCTGAGAGACAAGGGTATATATGGGTTTCTTTTGCACTAGTGTTAATTTATTTTAGTCATGGGTTTAATCTACTTGATAACCCATGGGATGTTCGTTAAGTCTTAGTCTGTGGATTGTATTTAATCAGTCTCTTAGGCTAGTCGATTCAAGAAGCCTTAAATGTAGTCCACTCTTACTGCCATTCCCCCCTCCAACCGACCACCCCTCTATATTATTAGGTCAGCCAATCGCTTCACTCAGTAAATATTTTTGAATGTGCACATAGTCAAGTACCATTTCTAGTCTACCTCAGCGCACTACAATCACTAAATTATACTGGTAGGAACCTCCTGGTTACACCAGCCCACAGGGGATTATTGTGTCCGTCCGTCGTGCAGGGAGGGGCTGGGTGGGGAGGGAGGGGCTGGGTGGGGAGGGTGGGGAGGGGCTGGGTGGGGAGGGTGGGGCTGGGTGGGAGGTGGTAGGGGTGGGGCTGGGTGGGGATGGGCTGGTCACCCCATGGTGCCCTTATAAAACTCAACGTTTAACCTACTCACGTCGGCTTGTGCCCGCCCTCACAGTCGGGCATATTTGCGGAATACACCACGCCGCCGTTGAGCCTAGCCATTGACCGAGCAACCCAACGTTTCTACCAGCTCCCTCCGCAGGAATGTGTTGTTAGACTTCACGTATGTATTTAGACTCCTTAATTTAATATCATCAGTCAGTCGCGCTTTTGTCTTTGATTGGGAGTCGTCATAGTCTTCTTTATGCTTGATGATTGTTATACCACTCGTAGTCATCGTTGACGAAGGACTAAAATAGGCAAAAAACACATTTTTGGACACGAATATTTCTAGTAACTAATTTCGATAACAGGATGCGTGCCACACCTCAACTCCGGAGACGACCAGCTCGTCCGCAGACTTCACCACGTTCCGGAAGAATCCTCCCAGCATCTCCTTCTTATTCTTGCCCCGCACGTTCAACTGTCAGAAAAGAAGAACAACACAACTGTTCTGTGGAAGCAGATCTGATTTGAAGATTATCCTACCAAGCGCTCAACATAAGAAATGTGCGTGCATTCACTTTAACCATCAAAGCGCCTACGTTTGTCAAATAAGCGATGGGCAGTGCTCAACTCCGTGAGTAATTCTGAGCCAGTGGTTCAAATTCATCTTCCCATGGCGGGGAGCAGTCTCTGTTTATAATAATATTTAAAATAATAATTTACAGCTCTTTGTCAAACCACTGGTAGATGAAGGCCTCCCGAAGTCATTACGATTTCTTGATGTCCTGCGCCATAACAATCCACCGAACGCCTGCAACATGAGCTGATTCCATTGACCCAACATGTATCATGAAAACTAAAAAGATTAAGCTGAGCCCAAGCAATCCTTAATGACAGATTCACCCTTAACTGCTATTCACATCAATACTGACATTTTCTATAACTAAAAGCCAATAAGACGCTGAGATGGATAGACGAGATGGACAGATAAAGCTGCAGACTGGAGTCACACCTCATGCGTGTACTCGAGGAAGACCTGTAGGTTGGAGTCCTGGCTGAGGACAGGGTGGGTAGCCAGTCGGACCAAGAAGCCCTCATGCATGGCCACAGTCTTCTTGAACACCACCAGATACTCACTGCAAGCCAAAAGCACAACACTAAGTGATACCTGCAAAATCATGCAGATTTTTACGTAAACTTGTATGATTAATTTCAAATATTACACCATCAGCCATGGCCAATCCAGTGGTAAAGGAATGACAGCTTACATTTTTTTACATAATGTTATATGTAAATTTACTTATCAGCTTAAATATTAATATTTTTCAGCAGAATTATATGACATGTTTAATAATGCCAACATGGAGTAAGAGTTAATTCTGTTGATGAGCGTAAAAAAATGTTTCCCAAACGTTAAATATGCATTACCACCAAGTAATATTTTGTAACACTTTTCACCAAATGATTCCTGAAAACTGACGATGACATCTGCAGGACACAGAACTCACGCTTCCACTTCTTGTTTCATTCTGGAAAATTCTTCCTTTGTCATCGTTCCCTCGGACTGACCCAGCCTATGCAGCTTATCGCGCGAGGCTGAGAAATCGGGTCGCAGTGGCGCTGGGGGGATCTTCACAGAGGACACGCAACGTAGAGCAAGAGAACACGCAAAGCTCAGGGCCACACATACCACAGGACATACACACTTTAACAATTATTATTTAAACGATAACCACAACAAGCTATGAAGCTTGCACTCAAATTGCATATGGTACATATTGCTCATATATCATCTAGGTTAACATTATCAAGTGCGGTTGGATTGCAGAATAAAAATAAAATCAGTAATGCAAAGTCAAGTGAGCATTTTCATATCCGGCACTTACAATGAAGCCCGCGTAGGTTCCGTTCTCCACGTATGAGTCATGCAGCCACACAAAGTCTTCGTACTGGCGCGATACACACACCTTGCTGTTCTTGAAGGCTGGCAAAATTGTCTGCGGCACAGGAATAACATGAAGGCAGAGGTGCAGCGCTGCAATTGTCTGCTTACGCCACTACTGGCAGAAGAGCCTGTACTCTAAGGCAACCCACATAGAGGGTATTTGGCCTACGCTTTCACACCGACCAGACCCCTTGGAAGAGGTGGGAATGCCCACATTTCACAACACCATCACACGTGACCTGACACTTGACTAATTGTGGTGTACCCACATTTCTTGCTTGGTGGTCAGAGGTGGGGAGATTGGGAGATCGAACCGGTGCCTTCCGGATTTCAAAGTTAAGTGTGCTAACCATGGCAGTACAGGAATATATTACTTTAATTTACTGAAAATGTGTTTAAATATTTACAGACCGCTCAGTAGTAATCAAAATGGAAGTGTGCAAAGCCATTTCACAAACTTTTAAGCCTTTTTAATATACATGAAGTATGTGAGGCATTTAAAGACTAAGGCAGCAGTCAAAATTCAAGTTAGCAAAGCATCCACCATGCTAACAATGTTCCGTTTGCTTAAAAGGCATGGAAAACTACTGTATTCTTGTTTAGAGAAATTTATAACATAAATAACATGCAATGAAGGAGCAGCAGGCTGCATGTCATGCATGTAATTGAGGATTTCCCAGGCAGGTGAGCTTCAATGGCTTAAAACATTAGATTTAGAGCCAACGGAGGCCTTGCATGTTATGCATGCATGGTAAACAATGCGAAAGGAACACGATGCGATGGTCATACTTAAATAAATCAAAACTATGTTTAAGCTAATCAAGAGATACAAAACCACTCTTGCAAGACAACTTGAGCCAAGATGATATCAGCTGCCAAGAAATTAGACAAATAAACCTGCCATGTTTGTTTGTGCATTTGCAGTTGTGTGTGACATAGAGCCACAGAGCAGATACATCTAAATCAGAACCAGGTGTATAATCATGCAATTTAAATACAATATATATAGATGCTCTGCAGAATATGGGCCTAGAGTTACCTTTGAAAAATGTGCCTATGTACCCACATACATGCTGGGTGCACCTGCCAACCAGAGGTAGATTATGGGAACAGTTCCTCTCTAAGATTTTAATAATACGATTTTATAAGCCATCACTCGATGAAAATAACTCTCACATTTTCGCCTTTATTGTACAATGCTATGCAATTTTAATTGGCAAGGTCATACATTTTTATTGTCAAGTTGTGAAAACATTGTTAAATAGTTTTGTACCCAGAAGCTACTCTAATAACCCCATAGCAGAACAGAAAACAAGCGTAATATTTGATATATGCTCAATACGGCACAGTATTGATTTCACAATAGAAGGAACATGTTGGTAGTATTAGGGTCACCAGAACCATTTAGTTGCTAACACTTTATTTCAGAGCAAGACAACATTTGTAAATATTGTTGGGGGTTTGGGTAAAGGTGACCCACGAACACACGAGGTGTACCACTTCAAAACGATGGTCTTGCGATGCAACAATCCATCTAGCTCCTGCACACGAGTTGATTTCATCGCTTCATCTCTGCAGTGGACGTCCTCTCAGGGGTGTTCTCTCCTTTGGCTACCACTCTGTGTTGAGCCTTAACCAACCACCAGCCTAACATCCCTTCTAGCACTATGCCTTGATATTGCCAATTGTGATGTGATGATTGTTATCAGTAGTTTGAAACCTGTGTTTGGCAAGTGGGTTTGACACGTTGCAGTTCTGCATGGGTTATCTTGGTGTGAAATGTGGTTTTGACACATGGGCGGTTTGAAATATTGGTTTCACACGGGGGTCGACAACCTTTCAAAGAACAAGGGCCATTTTTGTTTTTGTGTTTGACCAAAACAGTTTAAGAGCTGCATCACACGCAGAGCTACTTGTACACAAACAGAAAAACAGCAGGTAGACAGCAGACGGCAAACGAAATCTGACTTAAATAAACTAAATAGGTGATGTAATAAACTGCGACTATTAATTTTTTTCCGCCTTAGTTCACTCTAGCAAGAAAGTTTGACTACATTTTGTTGTCATCAAGATATTCCATATCTGCCATATTTTATCAATTCACTTTACATTAAATTATATTTAACTTTTTTTTAAACGACTGCCCACAGGGGGGCAGCCAAAGATCCAACAAAGGGGAAGCCAAAGAGCTGCACGCGACTCTTTAGCCGCAGGTTGCCGACTCTTGGCTTAACACATTGGTTTGACATTTTGATTTAACATATTCGTTTGACAAATGGGTTTGACACATGGCGTTGACACCCGGATATGACACATGGTTTTAACGTGGCCCCCGTGTTTCGATTACACCTTGGTTTGACACATTCCTACATTAGTGGGGCTGCCATGCATGCGGATTTGACAGATGGGTTTTGACACATCGGACCTAACCACAGTTTGTTACACGTGGGTCTGATGTGTGTCCCCTCCCTTTACCTTGCTTTGACATATTGGTTTTATACATTCGTGTGACACATGGGGTTTGACACGTGGGTACTTTAGCACGTGGCCTCCCGTGCGCAGGTGACGTTACCTTGGTGCAAACTGTGAAGAGGACCCGGTCTCGCTCGCTCACGGCGTCCGTGATCGACACACGCAGCGCGGGCTCCCCCTGCAGGTCGATGCTCACAGAGCGGCCCTGACAGCACAATCAGCAACACTCGATGCATTTCCCGTTGAGCTGGATACAGGAGGGCCAATTGCTTGTAGCGAGCGCCTAGTGGCCGTCGTCGTTGTCAGCCTGTAGCTTCCCACTGCTGGCAAAAGCCTCCTCCCCCCCCCCCCCATTTCCTTCAATTCCTTCCTTTCCATAGTGAGTGTCTGGGTCTCCATGTGAGAGTATGGGTCACAATGTGAGAGTATGGGTCACAATGTGGGTCTGTTGTTGTTCTCGTCAGGCTGTAACTTCAGGCAAATTGATTAATTTCCCCCAGTTTATGCCATCCCTGTCCTTCGTGTCTTCCGTCAAGCACCGTAGTGGCCTCCGAATTATTTGATTTCGTCTCACCAAACGGCTGCAATGTCTACCACTGCTTCTTTTGCCTGCCCTCGGTATCCATGCCGTGCTTTCCTCTGTCTCTCTCATCTCTCGTCAATTGTTCTCATGCCGTGACCGACCGAATTTTGACATTCATTGTTTTAACTTTCTGGTCAGAAACATGTGCGGACGTTTTTGTATGCCCCAATACTGATGTAGTGTACATACCCATCACACTGGGCAGGAACGGAACTCACTCGAGGCACATTACACGTGCACACAAGCACGTGGGCTCGCTCCTGATACACGTGGTTACACACATACAGACTCGTCCCGTGATGTGACAAAGTCCGTTCACGAGTTTCTTTATAAAATGCATTGGACAAAACGGCTCAAAACCCTGATCTAAGCTACCCTCTAAACTGTTACACACATTTAACATATTCTACGGTTTCTAAGATGCACATTTCCCTCCTGTATTTAATATGAAACAAGTTTGGGATGCGACTTATAATCCGATAGTTGTGGGTTTGTGTGAGACCAGCTTTGAATCATTTATATTGACGTCGGACACAAGTTTGAGGGTGCGTCTTACTTTCAGAGGGGTCTTATAATCGGATGATGCGATAACACAATGACCACAGGTATGAAGCCATTACTCCTATACATACTGGGCAACTTGCTGAACCTCACTGATTCGTATTAGTGCAAGCAGTTAATCAATCACCTGTCACCCTTTAAGCGAGCCTAACGGAATTGACACTCAGTTATGTTTCTAGAACTCTGTTAGGACATTACGCATTCTGAAAGTGGAAAAAGCACAGCAGTGTTTGTCAGAAACAATTAGTTAAGGGTGTACACAACTGCATGCAGTATAACCAAATAATATATATAGCAATAGCCATTTGAAGTCCAATTATATGCGTGTCCCCTACAATAAAATTATATCATCACAAAGTAAATGGTAAATAACAATATGACTATATTTAAATCTGTCTTTTTTGTCTTATGTTAACAAATAATCTATACATGTAGACAACAGAAGTATTATTCTTGCGCTCACAGGATATTGAGAGGGAGTGCTCCTGCCAATAACATCTGGTAAACCAGCAATATTTATTGAGTAAGCATTACTGCTGGAAAGACCCTAAGAGTCGAGACCTGTCCAGTGTTTGCTTCTTAAAATACACGTGTCGTTTCACATGAATATAGGAAGGTCAATAGGCTAAAACACTCAACAATACTGTTAGTTATTTTAGATAACACAGGTTGGTTGATTTGTTTAGCTATTTAATGGAAATACTGCAATGTAAAACTGCAATTTACGAAAAAGTATTGTCAGTTGTACAGAAATCCAGCTTAACATGGTCACCAACAGTGCCCTCGGCATACGGTATCCCTTTAAAAGTCAACATTCTATTAAAATGTAACCAAAAGTCCAACAACGTTCGCCTTATTGTGTTACCTTTTCGTCGTCTTCTTCTTTCAAAAGATTGATTTCCTCATCCATCTCGGAATAAATGCGTTCTCTTAAGGATCGTTAACGGTGTGTGGCTCAACAAAGGCCAGCCACAAGTTGAACCCGTGATGGACCCAAAGTGTGAAAATGTTGCTGAAACTGGCAAGATGCACACTGAGCGGCGAGTTGACACCGGGTGCAGCCTCCAGTCATCTGAGCTGACGCACTTCCGAGTATTATTCTGCTTCTACACAAACGGGATGGGACTTGCTTATGCACACAGAACAGCACAATGCTTCATAGCAAGGGCACTCAATGGTTTAGGTTCTTTATACATTGTAAATTCGAACAGAGATTCTGAGAAGCCTTCACTGAGTTTAAAATGTAGTGGCTTATGTCGCGCAGTTGATTGACCATGGCTGATGATTGTTTGCTTTGCATTGCTTAAAATACACAGGGAGATACACTGATAAACGTATGTAAGATGTTACAAATGTTGTGGTCTGACGAGTCATGACTTGCATGGACTGATGTGCTGAATGATTATTAGAGTTAGTGAGACGGTGGATTAATTTGATGTCGGGTTATGGATGGGGTTGTTAGATGTTCACGTCTTGAGTTAAACTGATGATGTTGGCATGATTGTACTACGTGCTCATGTTGGTGGTATGATGACGTTGAGCCAGTATAATTTTGGTATGACAATGTTGGGTATGGTGACGGTATTACGACGCTGAGTTCAGTATGATGTTGGTGTGATGATGTTGGTATAATGATATTGAGCCATTGTGGCATCGGTGGTATGACGTTTGTGGTATGATGTTGGTATAATGATATTGAGCAATTGTAACATAGGTTGTATGATGTTTGTGGACATGATAATATTGATATGATGCTATTGAGCCAGTGCGATTATGGTGGTTTATTGTTCGTGGTATGATGATGTTGGTATAATTTTTCTGAACCACTGTAATATTGGTGGTATGACGGATGCGGTATGACTAATATATAGTTATACTGATATTGAGCCATTATGAATTGGTGGTATGACGTTTGTGGCATGCTATGATGCTAATGAGCCAGCGCGATTGTGGTGGTTTATTGTTTGTAGTATGATGATGTTGGTAAAATGTTACTGAGCCACTGTAATAGTGTTGGTATCACGGATGCGGTATGATGATGATATTGGTATACTGCTATTGAGCCATTGTAATATTGGTGGTAAGCTAGCGTTGGTATGATGCCATTGAGCAAGTGTGGTTATGGTGGTTTATTGTTTGTGGCATGATGATATTGGTATAATCCTATTGAGCCATTGTGATATTGGTGGTATGCTAACGTTGGTATGATGCCATTGAGCCAATGTGGTTATGGTGGTTTATTGTTCGTGACATTGTAATATTGGTATACTGCTGTTGAGCCATTGTAATATTGGTGGTATGCTAACGTTGGTATGATGCCATTAAGCCAGTGTGGTTATGGTGGTTTATTGTTCGTGGCATGATATTGGTATGCTGCTATTGAGCCATTGTAATATTGGTGGTATGCTAACCTTGGTATGATGCCATTGAGCCAGTGTAGTTATGGTGGTATATTGTTTGTGGCATGATGATATTGGTATACTGCTATTGAGCTATTGTAATATTGGTGGTATGCTAACGTTGGTATGATGCCATTGAGCCAGTGTGGTTATGGTGGTATATTGTTTGTGGCATGATGATATTGGTATGCTGCTATTGAGCCATTGTAATATTGGTGGTATGCTAACGTTGGTATGATGCCATTGAGCCAGTGTGGTTATGGTGGTATATTGTTTGTGGCATGATGATATTGGTATGCTGCTATTGAGCCATTGTAATATTGGTGGTATGCTAACGTTGGTATGATGCCATTGAGCCAGTGCGGTTATGGTGGTTTATTGTTTGTGGCATGATGATATTGGCATATTGCTCTTGAGCCACCGTGATATTGGTGACATGACGTAATGTGTGGTATGATGACGACGTTGTTGTTAAGTGAACGTGATGATGATGGTGGTGGTGTCAGGAGTCAGCCCACGTGACGCAGCTCGCAGGCAGCCCGCGTCGCGAGGCCGTCATGGCGTGGAAGTGCGGAGGCAGCAGCCACGCCGAGTTGGTCAAAAATCTGCGAAGTGAGCCCGCACCTCACGCCTTCGCTCGTCCCCGTGTCCCCGCAGGAGAAGGAGCGGGGACAGGAGGACGGAGCCACCGCTCCTGATGGAAAAAGAGTGCGGGGTGGGGGGATGGCGGCTCCCTTCCTCGAGCCCGACCCCCTTCGTCGCGTCACCCTTGGCCGGGGCTGAGCGCGTCTTCTCCCGCCCGGCTTTCTATCCGAGACCGCTGGGGCCTAGCTCCGAGTCGGGGGTGTCTCTGCAGAAGGCTGCATTTTTTGAGCGTGCAAATGTTATGGGGATTTGATGCATTTGTGGTCTGCCGTTTCGGGCGGGGTGCACGATGTTGACGAGTCGTTAAATGCAAGGATTTTGGGATTTTGCAAATGTGGCTGCTGTCGTGTCGGTGATGAGGCATTTGGGCGTCGCCTTCCTGAATCTGCATCGGCAAATTTATTGAACATTCTTGAAGCATGCCCAACGAAAACAGCCGTCAACTATTGTTGAACTACCATATAACGTGCCTTATTGCAGTACAATGCTGTTGCAATTTAAATACAGTACAATCTTCACCATTTGTGCATTGCCAATGAATACTGAATTTGAACTCGTGCGTTGTGTGGCCACGTGGTGGGCAGCAGAGGGCATTGCAGCAACATCAATTGTTGTACACTACTTCTAACACCCCCTTTACCAGCCCGCAATGACCAGCGTGGTTAAGTCTGGTCAAGTAACCCCCCACGACCCGTGGATTGAAAAGCGAGGCTTTACAGGACAACTGTGGACATTGCTGGTTATCTCTGCAAAGTGATATCATTGCGATAAATGGAGTACGTGTTATATACGTAGAAGGGGGGGGGGGGGCAATAGAATGAGAACATATCTTTAATGTGAACTCCTGTGACAGGGGTGTGTTCCCCTGAATGTTTTTCATCAGGAATGCAATGCTCTGGCCGTGGTGGTACTTGGTGAGACATGCGTTCGTTCACAGTGAAATGTGAGGACTCTGGGTATGATGGACAACGCTGTATGGGGGACAACTATAGGCCCACGCACCTTAATCGAGTGGGTGATTTGTCTTTCAGGCAATGGCATCGTTAAATCCGACCGCGTTTACCAGGCAATGATTGCCACGGACAGAGGAAAATACGCCAAGCACAATGCCTACATGGACTCGCCGCAGTCCATTGGTAAGCTGGTGGTTGTTGATATTCGAATGGGCATTGTTAAAACGCCTACATGTGTTTTATGGCTTTAGAGATTCAATGACTCTAACACTAGTTTTGTTTGTTTAGGTTATCAGGCAACTATAAGTGCACCTCACATGGTAAGTATTCCACATACCAGCTGGTAATATAGGTTTACAAACACTACGTTTACACATTTAATAAAACAAAGCACGAGTGGAGTTTTAAGAAGCTCCGCCATAATTATTTTGGCACATGCACTGATGTTATTTTGGTGTGCGTGTCTGCAGCACGCCTATGCCCTGGAGATATTGCAAGACCATTTGTTTGAAGGGGCTTCAGTCTTGGATGTTGGTTCTGGGAGTGGCTATCTCACTGCTTGCATTGCAAGAATGGTATGTGCACATGCTCAGCAATACAGCGGAGATTAACGGAGGTTTTTTAAATTATTATTAGTGAAACAACAATATAAAGTCTACTTTAGACACCGTTTTCTTTTGCTTTACTAGTCTAAAGGAACGTGCATGTCATTTGCATATTTTCTGTCTTTTAAATGATACATTCTTGCACAGTTTGACGCATTTGTTGTATGATAATGTATTGCAATTGATTAATCGTTTACGTGCTGACTATGCAAACATTGCCGCACCTATAAAATATAGTTTTAAGTTTTGATGAATTTAATACTCAGTATTTTGGAATGGAAAACTTTTGTATGGTCTAATAAATACTGTTAATTTGTGAAATGTCTAAAATTATTTAGGGCCCTACTGTGTAAATTGCAGTCTTCTCCTACAAGTCAGTTCTTTTCTGCCCTCTCTTTACTGAAGAAGGGTCACTGATTGAAACACAAGTCGAAGATAAGTTTGTTTCCAGAGCAGTGTTATTGAAAAATGTGGTGAGCGTATTTAGGTTAACCATAATAGTACAATTTCCAAATAATAAATCAATATATTTTAAAAGTACGCCTACTTTAAAACTGCTTTTTGTGTATTGTCCTTCGCCCACACCTCCTGTTAGCACGGCTGGCTATGTACAGTGCGAAAGAAGTTCAACATACATACGTAGTGTCACTTAATACTTGGCATATATTTGACATCAAAAACATGACGATTTGTGGGGAATGTGCATTTGTTGGAGTAGGTGGGGTCTTCAGGAAAGGTCATTGGGATTGATCACATCCAGGAGCTGGTGGATGAAGCCGTCAAAAACGTCAACAGAGATGACATGTCTCTTCTCTCTAAGGGGCAAGTGACACTTGTAGGTGGGTTTCCATTGCCTGCATTGGTTTGACAGTGACATTACCATACGCATTGAAAGTAAAACTTATTTCCTGCGTTGTTACCCTGGTTTTTATGTACACTTACACATGCTTAGTTGTACGATGTTAGCTTAAATCAAATAACATAGTTAAACTTAGTGTCCTTTAGAGCTCATATTGCAGTTGCTATTTATTGCATACTTTAAATGGTGTTTGTTACTTTGCAGTTGGTGATGGCAGGCAGGGGCACACAGAAGGTGCTCCCTATGATGCCATCCATGTGGGAGCTGCTGCACCTACAGTTCCACAGGCGGTAAACAAGCCATGAGTGCCTCAATGCACAACGTTTATTTGCATGAAAAGTCCATTGGCCAGACTGCTTGTGTGGCTATTGCATTAGAGCTGGGTTATTACTCTCCCTATTATCAGTTTGATCACTTGACTAAACCGTTAATATAAAAACACTTGGAAAAAACATTCTCTCACCTATGCAACTGGATGGGAGATGATGAGGGAGGCTTATACCTACTGTAATCACCCAGGAATGTCTGTCCTTAACGTTCGTGATGTCACTCCTCATCGACCAGCCCCCCTCATTAATATTCATGAGCAGGTGACATCCTCCAAATGGACTACCTCCCCACCCCTCATTAATAATCATGAGCGGGTGACGTCACTCAATATGGAGTACTCCCCCCCCCCCCCCTCACTAATAATCATGCGCAAGTGACGTCACTCCATATCGAACAGCCCCCTCATTAATATTCATTAACAGGTGACGTCCTCCAAATGGACACCCCCCCTTCATTAATAATAATTAGTGGCTGACGTCACTCCACATGGGGGGCCGAGGCGCCTCCTCCCCCCTCCTCGGCGTCAACTCACAACCCTCACTACAAAGGCAGAACCCTCATGTCACGCGATCTCCGTAACGCTATTGAGACATCAAAGTAAAAAGGACGTCATGATGAACAAGGGATTATAACCTTAAAATGAAATAGGTCTGTGTCGCCGGGCCCTTACAAATTGCACACGAATTAATGCAATCAATATCACGTCACGGTCTGCTTTTCGCTTGCAAGTTTCAGATGTACTTCAATACACCCGTCCTTGGATGGGTAAAAGGCTAGTTGATATTATTGGCATCATCTGCCATGTCTTACTGGGCATTGCTTGTAGGGGGTTTTGGGTGGCAGAATCTGGGGATAGCCATTATTGTTAAAAGGGTCCGAGTAAAGGACCAAAAAATTGGAGTCAATTGCAATTTCTGTATTGTATGTTTCAAGAGTACCGGGGCAGCATTAGCAGAATCCTGGGTGTGAGCTTAGCATTCCATGACAAGATTGCTTTCATTGCTTTTATTAAAAAAAAATGTCCCATTGGATGTTTGAAACTGCTGTTGTTTTTTTTTCAGTAATGTGATCTTATTTTCTATTTTTGTTGCAACGTGGCATGTATCCCAGTTGATAGACCAGCTGAAGCCAGGCGGCCGGCTCATTTTGCCCGTGGGGCCAGCAGGGGGAAACCAGACGATGGAACAATATGACAAGCTGGAGGACGGTACCGTACGACACTGCCCTCTGATGGGCGTCATCTACGTGCCACTCACTGACAAGGACAAGCAGTGGGCATGCTGGAAGTAAAGCTTGCAGGGCCAGAAAGGTTATTGTGAACATTTATCTTTTAATGTTGCATATATTATCACATCCTCTGTTTTCATAACAGAGTGATTCTTACACTGTTAATGAAAAAAGATATTGTGGTTATCTATTAAATAACTGATTTTAGTCCCAGGTAACATTTGTTGATAAACGTATGTTTTCTAATTACACATGCTGAACATAATTTTATTCAAGTCACTTGAAAATGTAAATTTATTTTGAAATGCATAATGGTAATCGTTCATTTCCCTGTAAAAGACTTGTTTGGTTTCTTCATCTACCATTTCTGCTGATATATTATTGATGGAAAAAGTATGGCAAGTAGCACAGTGATTAGTGCACAAGGCTTGCATATCTTGAAGGATGATGAGATCAAATCCCATTCAGGGGTCCACTCAGCCATTATTACTTTTAGAGTCATTTAATTGAGTACCACTTTGTGGGAAATAAGCAATCATCCCATCGCTTGACTTGCCCATGCTATCGTATTTAACTATATTTGTAGAGAGCTGTAAACTTGTGATACGCACAGCCCCATTCCTCATGAACTGGGCAACCACTGACATTTTGGTACATAAATGAACAACTGTAAATGTCTTTCATTTTATGCTTTGCAAGATGAAATGTTTACTGTTTTAAGAGGTCGCATTCTCTTGTGAAGTGTGATAAGACGAGAAGACTTATTTTTCCCTTTGTAGGGATGCTAGATGACCTCTGATCAAGAACCTGAACACCAAACCATGGCGACTGCGTGAAATGCTGCACACTCACTTTAATTGCGCCTTCATATATGTAGTGCCATGCATCTTTTACACAAGATGTATTTAGTGTTTTGTATCTTAAATTCTGTTTTGCATTATCATTCTCACTCGCAAACTTGCAAAATAAGTGTATTGTTGGACCTCAGTCAGTTCGTATGACAGAAAAAAGGAAGACTTGCTGGAAGTTTATATGTTTTTTAATCAACTACATTATGTTTTGCGTTTGCCTTGAACATTCTGTATCTGCAGTGTAATATGTGAGCTGAATGCACTGGAGCTGTGTGATAGTTATTGCATACATTTGAATCTTAAGACATTTCTGAAACATCAATATCGATTGAAAATTCTCATTCTAGAACTCAGTCAACTTTTACTTTGTGCGGATTGCAGAATGGGATAGTGCACATAATTAAATATATAGCAAAATTACTGTGTTTTTGCAGTTTTCTAAAGCACTTAGAGGTTGTATGGCATGTTATTCAGCATAATATCTGACTTTTCACTCCACTTACTGCGAGCTCAATTTATCTAGCTATGATATAGCATTGCTGATGGATAAACCAAGCTGCTCTAAGCATTTCCTGAAGAAGCTCCCAGCATGTGGAGCAAAACGTTGGACATCATGCCAAACAACACGCAGTACAATCTAAAAACAAATCCCAGCCCTATTTAACAAACTTGGCCAGTATGATTTAAAATACAAAATGCTGTTCATGATGTTGTACACTTAAGGGTGAAAACATAATGGAATAATGGAAATCTATATTTTCGATTTGTACGTACATTTTATTTTAAATAGGAAGGTACATTTACAGCAACATGTAACATTGTTTGATAAAATATTTTAATGCAGTTATATATATGCATTGTGTTTTGTGAATTTATTTTTTAATGGTCACAAATTTTCCGAAACAACACTAACATGGTAATACATTGTACATTAATATGCAAAACAATATCTCCACTTTTATAATGCAGCTGAATTTGAGTTGTGGTATGACTTGTTTTTTTATTGCCTTTTCAAGCAGATAGATTTATTGCGATTGTGTTGGAGATCTATGCTCGCCAATCCGAATGTCCTGGCACAGTAACAGATGAACAAATACATGCTTTAAATCTATTGGTAGCAGTAAAAAATTTATCAGTTTGGCAGTTATATTTATTTACTGAATATCAGTTTACTACATGGCTTAAGCTACCGCTGGTTTAATTTTCTTGTGTGTTTTCATGTTGTTTATGTTTGCACATTTAAAAATGTCCTACACTGCATTGTAGTACATAGCTTAAATGTAGGACAGAGAGTGTTGATTTGAATGGAGGACTGCTTCCCAGTATCGTTTGAATATTACTTCTGGTCTGCTCAAATGTATAAAATATCAGTGTGCATATCACTAGATATGTCTGCAAGTGGTGGGTCGCTTATTGTTGCGTAATAATATGTCATTGTTTTGTAAAAAAATACTTATGAATGTGGGTTTTTAGTAGGGCAGGTAACACCAACATTTACTGAAATATCTAAAGATATTGTGAAATTTAGGCCATTATTGGCCTCAAAGTAAATAACTATGTACTGAGAAGAATGTTTGGAAAATGTAATTTGAAGTCGGAAAGTATTGCTTTGTCTTGTCAACAAATGTACTTATTTGGTATGATTTCCACCATGCTCAACACATAGAAAAAAAACGTAATTGGTAACATGATAAAACTGTTTGCCTGGTTTGCAAGCTTTGAGCTTCATAAAAATAAAGTCAACCACCTAGCATCTCTCTTTAAGGATAACACGACATGGGCATGTGAATGCTCTTGTTTCATTTATAAGTGGAAGTATTTATGGAAGCACATAGTGGTTTGCTGTGCTGGAACGTGTTTCCAATAAAGCTTCCAGATTCAAGCAAAGTTGCACTTAACCTTGTTGCTGCTAGACCATGGGCTGTTGTTCTTTCTGATCACTTGTCGTGTACTCATCAGCATATGGTAATAAAAAGACAGTGACCTAAAGTAAAAGCAGCTGGTAAACTCGTTAATTAAATAAGACAATACAAGGTGCATTTATACTCTGTAAAAACAAAAATTTCGTAGTTAAACTTCAACATTTCCCCATTCTTTATTTTTTTCAGCACATAGTAATTTTAAACACATTTAAACATTTCAAACTTTTGATTTCAAGCTGACAATTTACATGTTTAGTTGAGAACTGCATTTAAAATGCTCCAATTCCCAATGACAACTGTGCTGGAAAACGAGTCAAGAAATTTGCGTGAACTCATCCTCATCAACCATGATCTCTCCACTGCTGGTGAATGGAGTTGGCACAATCCCACGTGGTCTCTCGATGCAAAAATCCGTCCAAATTCCTCCACAAGAACAATCTCATCGCTCCCATCTCGACAGTGGTCATTCTCCGGGGCCTGTTCTTCCTTTGGCTCCACTCTCATTCATCTCAACCAACAGCCATGCCCTACAGCAATGTGTTCTCAACCTCACTTAATTTTTCTTAACAGTCAATATGATGTATCTAACTCACGTATGTTATCTGATCCATGTGTTTTATATGTAATTCTGAGCGTACACCGCTCCATGCGCACTTTTACATTTTTCGAATACGTACGGTACAGTACTATCAGATCTAGAAAAAGACGAATGCATAGGCTACAATTGCACCTTGCCTTCGTGGACTTAAGACATTTTACTCGGTGGACATCAAGACCTCATGAACCGTGCCTTGAGTAAAAACATTTAGAAGAAAAAAAATCGAACAGCTCCACGGAGGTTGCAGGAATACATTCCAAAAATATATTTGATGGGAGAGCCAGACTTTAAAGCACACTTTTACCAAAACTATTCAATTGACAATATGTTTAACAAACATTGGATAGCAAAAAAGGCACAGATAAAATGTAGAAATAGTAACCATCTCAGATTTCTTGAACGTTTACCAAAAAAGTTAATTACATGAAATTAAGAGTGCAAATTTGGGATTCAGGTAAATGAGTAACACCAAAGGTTTAAACCACTATGTAAAATTGAGCGTAGTCATTTTGCAGTATGAACATTGTTGCTTCATCATAAAGAACGCATCCAGATACATAGTTCAACAATTTTGATTGATAGTGTTTACAGTTAAACTATGGTTCTAGACACACTCAGGTTATGAGTCATTCCAGCGATGTCACGATTATAATACATTATGGAAGAGACCATTTCATTTTTGGCAGTTGTACTTGAAATATATATCCATACGAAACTACTATGTGTATATCATTAATCTCAGCATGAAGGAAATTTTGTTCAAAATGTTTAATATTATGAATGGACATATGAAAATGACTGCATCTCACTTTTTGGAGATGTATAAATATACCAGTATAAAGGCCAGCCTTGAATCACTTGTACGCAAGAACCAAAACCATACATATATCTAAAAGGTAGAGGTGAAGCCATGCAATTGCTTGCTCACACGACTGCTGGAAGAAGGACCTTCAATTCAGAGAGATCTAGAGTTCCTCTAGAGAAGGTATGTTGACCTACTCTTCCACGCTGGCAATACATCTTGCGACCTGCCGATCGACGAACTGCTGTATTCACTTCTTGGGGGGGGTTAAAGAGGTGGAGGATTTAAGAATATTTCCCATTTGGCGGCCTATGTAAAGCAACGAATTGCATTTCAGAATGTCATTTAATGATATATTTGTTATCTTCTTCACCACTTGGGTGTTGTAGACAGAGCACAGGGCAGATGTCGAGATACTCAGTTCAACAGCGTACCAACAGGCAGACTTCTATGAACTGTGAACTGTGTATCTCAGCATCTGCACCAGGCATGTTCTTAATTCCTGTAATCTCAATCTTGCGTCCGTAGTACACCCGCTTGTTAAGGTGTCCTCAAAACAACGCGTGACCCTTGCTGATCATATTTTGTGACCCAACTTTCATGCTCCGCTTTAAAAAAAACGAAGAAATTTTTTTTTTCATCGTAATCAATTTGAATAGCATAACATTGCATACGTGGTACATTGTAATACACCGTAACGTAAATTGTACGTTAAGTAGGTGATGTGAGTGTAAATAATAAACAGTTTCATTGAAACTAAATATTCAAAGCATAATTAATGTGTAAGGACATGGAATTGTGTTAAATTACATCATCTGGTTGAGTATATTTAAACATGATGGTATCTCTGTCTTGAGTTTGAAAAACGCTAGCGGTTTTTCACATCTGCACACTTTTAATACGTTTAATCCAAAGCAATATCACTAATAATGCATGTGACCCCATACTCACATTGCCGGATGTTGGTGGTTTCATGTTAAAACTGAGCGGTGCTCGCCAGTCTGGCACCTTTTGCCAACTATTTATAGTCAGCTGAGGAGTAGTACATGTAAACACTTGATTAAACTAACATGTCTTGCCTCGGTAAATCTCTCTTTCTTTCCCTGTCATGTAGCACAGGGTGCAGGCATATGGCACAACAATGGTGTCTTAGTAGAATCCTCTTATAGTTGACTGCCGTCAGCGGCAAGACGATAGAGACGCGTGCCAGTCTGATTCTTCGTGAAAACGGTGGGCATCATGATCTTTTTTTATTGAGCCATGTTGATTTAAATGTAGAAAATAATTCAAAAATTTATTGGCCAAAATTAAGGAGAAAAATCCTTTGTGATTCAGTATAAATATCCAAATATCGCAATTCATTTCAAAACATTAATACAAACAAGGCAAATGTGAGCTGATTTGCGCAGGATGATTCAGAAATAATATTGTTATAAGCTGCATTCGGCGAGGCATGAATTAAATGCGTTACTGTGAAAAGCATAGCGACTGCGTTGACTAATCCGTGCGCGGAGAGGAGAGAGACAGAACGCGTTGGCTTCTTCTTCTAATCCTCTTAGAGACAGGATCCTCCATGCCGTGCTTGTTGCTTCACAGTGCAGCTGAAGGAGACGTCCAGTTCTCGATTGGTTGCCATGTGGAAGCAGATATTCACGGTGAGTTGTAGGCATCGCACTTACCTTTATGACCTCTAATTACGACAAAAGAGTATTCGTATTTATTTACTTATTAGTGTCTCTCATCAGACTGCCAGCCATGGCTCACGACGTCAGTGGCGAGTGAGACCTGACCCCAGCCAGCAGCGGATTGACAAAGGGCTGCAAGTTATTGGACGTGCGGATACGTTTTGTGTTGGCTTCAGATAATTAGAATTGATTCGACAATGGGACTCCAACTCTAATCTTAATCATAACATCCATATTTGGAGCAGATCGTGATGTTGCCCTCGTCGTAAATAGGCCACTGCTTATCTTTTCGCAGTAATTTTGATCACTGCTTAGGGCAAATAAAATGAGCTTTCCAGCTGGCATTTCATAAGACCCACATCTGAGTGACAGAGTCATCACTTACACAAGGAAATCAGCTTATGTTCTAAGCAGTTTTTATTTCAGCTATACTTTTCCCATACCAGCCAGAGCAGTTAACAAAGAATGTAGTCATTTCCTTGCAGTTGAACGGAATGAACTGGAATTAAATGTACTGTAAAATGTGAGTATGCATGAATCGATTGGTAAGTCGCGTGTGGTGGGGTAAAGTGTAGGTACTCCCACTTCTTCCAAGATGTCTGACCAGCATATAAAGGTAGGCCAGATACCCTTCTCAGGTTCTCCCTAGAGCTCCCTCTGTGTGCCTGACTTTGCCTGTCGATCTTGCTTATACCAGTACCTTAAGCCAGGAGGTCCTGCTGGAGACGTGGTGTGGATTCCGACCATTCCGGGGCACTGCAGATATGGTCTTCGTTGCCCGACAGGTTCAAGAAAAGCGTCCGGAGCAGCATCAAGAACTGTTCTTGGCATTCGTCAACCTAACACAAGGCATCCTCAACAGGGAAAACCTTTGGAGTGTCCTCCAATGCCTTGGCTGTCCAGAGAAGTGTGTCACCATCTTGCGGCTCCTGCACGACATGACTGCCACCGTGCTGAGCGGGGGATCTGAAACGGATGTTAATTGGGGCTGAGTGATTGCCCCCACTTTATTCACCATCTATCTGGTCGTGGTCACCCTCTTCGTCCACGGTCGTCTTCCATCTGGCATCAACATCCAGTACCGTCTGGGCGGGAAGCTGTTCAACCTCGGACGTTTCTGGGCAAAGAAAAAGCTGATCATGAAGGACATCCACGACCTGCAGTTTGCGGACGACTGCTGCATGGTGGCTCACTCCACGCAGAACATCCAGATGGCCCTCGATGTATTCAACTCTGCATGTAAGAGACTTGGCTTAACCTTGAACATTAATACCACCAAGGTCCTCCACCAACCACCATCGGACCAGTCAAGCATCCCCCCGACTAGATATAATCGTTGGAGAGGCCCTTGAATATGTGGAATATTTCCTTTACGTCGGTAGTCATCTCTCCAAAATGGCCACCGTCGATGGGGAGATCCAACACGAAGTCCTGTGCACCAGGACCACCTTCTACAAACTGCGCCAGCACGTCTTCGATCACAACGATCTCCGCAGAACAACAAGCTCCTAGTTGACCAGGCTGTTGTCAACCCAACACTTCTTTACTTCAGCGAAACGTGGACAACGTACCAGTGCCATATCACTGCGCTTGAGCACCGCCATCAGCACTGCCTCTACCAAATCGTGGGGGATCAAGTGGGAAGATCGCTGCACCAATGCGAGTGTCCTCCAAGCTGATACCACCAGCATCGAAGCAATACTTATAAACAAAAACAATTCCGATGGACTGGCCACTGAATTCACGTGCCTGAGAACTACCTTCCCCACCGGATACTTTTCTCCCAGCTCTCCAATGGGTAGCTGACGAGGGGAGGATAATGGAAGCAGTTCAAAGACACCCTCAAGTCCTCCTTGAAGCGTGGAAACATCGACCTTCAAGACTGGGAGGAGCAGGCTGCCGCTGTATCCACCAGGCGATGACCTACTTCGAAACTCAACGTCTCGATACCGAAGTGGATCGCCGCCAAAAAATAAAGGAAAAGGAAG